GCACTGGAGAAACTCAGCAGTTTTGGCAATATTTATACAGAGAGAAACAGAGTTGACAGAGCCCAGCGAGTGTTTGTCAGGTCTTAGTTTTGTATGGAATTCCTTCAACGGTTGGTTCCTTAATACACTTCAATTGGGTGTCATTACATCAGCTTACTGGTAAAAAGAACATGCTAAAAATGAATGAGGAGTAAGGATACTGCTATTGTTCAACTGAGCAAAACGATTTCTTTTCCCTTCAAAATAAATTAAACATCAACATACATCATCAGTAGACTCCCAGTTTTAAATTCTCAATCCATTCACCCATTTTTGATACTTATACAAGTATAACTTTGTTTGTGATGCATTCCGATAGTTTAGTGCATATATGTACTGTGGTAATTTAACTTGATAAACAGAGCTGTTGTGAATTTTTACAATGTGCTTTAAAGAGACTTCCACTTAAATTCTGACAATTAAAAGCCAGTGCTCATGACTGTTTAAAATTATACATGCCCTAAATTAGTAGGAACCAATGAGAGAAAGTTTAATTCAAGTTTACTGATTTCTCACCCACACCAAAAAAACCTCAAAATGTTATTGTTCAAGTACAAATTAATATAGATCCAACACTGTGGTAATAACTAAAGGTGAGGAACAGCACTAATCAAATTGTGTTATCCAGTTTCAAGCTATTAGATCTGATCTGAATCTATTCCATTAACTATCATTGTGGTGCCACACAACTCGAAGGGGATGACTTCATTGTGAAGACAGGACTTTGTCTCCACAAGTACTGTGCATTTTACCTAGCAGACTATTCTTGCCATTTTGTACAAGTATGTTAAAGTCCCTTGTTTCGGTTCTCTCATTACACGGTGGGATTTCAGTCTGGGAGTTATGTCCTTCAGGACTCAACTTGCTAGGTCAGTAGCAATACTAAATTAGGTGCACTAGTCTTTGGGTGACAGACACAAAAACAGAAATTGCTGAATTTGAGGAATGGCACTGGATGTGAAATGTTAACTCTGATTTCTCTGCACAGATGCTGCCAGACCAGCTGAGCTTTTCCAGCACTTTGTTTACTTTCTGATTTGCAGCATCCACAGTTCTTCTGTATTTTATCTAGGTGACAGACATTGAAGTTCCCTACTCAAACTACATTTCATGTCCTTGTAACCGTTGTTTCCAAAAAAGTTTATTTTAACACAGAGGTAGACCAATGCATCAGCTGAGGAAAAGTGTAAGTCATCATCAGTACATTGTTTGCTTGCTCATGTTTAACAACATGCCATGATATTTGGTAACGTCCAGAGCCAACACTGAAGTCTGCACAGCCAATTACTCCCTCCCATATAATCACTATTCTGTAACTTCTGGTAGATTTGGCAACACAACAGGACAATCAAGGGATGCTAATGGAGCAATCTGGGACACTGGCTGAAATATATGACTATAGCTTCTAATTATGTAGAGTTATATGTCACCTTATCTGTGGATACCTCCCAATTTTGGCATAAATCCCCAAACATTATTGAGGAGCGCTGTGCAGGATTCAATACATTTAATGTGCCTTTACAATGCTGGTGGCCATCTACTTTTATTGTTGAATTTTGTGGCTTGCTATTCCATTTCCAATGGCTGTGGAATCTGGACTCTCACTTGGCTAGAATAGGTAACGATAGCAGATTTCCTTCCCTTAAAGGACACAAGTTTAATCAGTTGAGTTCTTATGAAAACCTAGCAGTGTCTTTTATGGCTAAATGCTTTTTAATTCCTGATTTTAATTAATTTTGAGAGAAAACGTTAAGTATGATTCCATTTTTTTAAAATAGGGAAATAGTATACCTGAACGCTGAATATCATCCAAACGTTTCATACGCTGTTCATTCCTGGCTCTTACTTGATCTACGTTAAAACTGGATGCAGAACGTAGAGAGATGGTGTCTGGTTGTGGTACTGGTTGTATGACCTTCATCAATTAAAGAAAAACGATGATTAGATTTTGTTTTCAAGTAGCATATGTACATACTGAAAAATATTAAACCGCTTATCAATTGCAACAAAGATGAAAATAATTCTCAAAACCCACAAAGCTAAAGATTTCAAATACAGTATGCACTCTATAAAGTGCAATTATCAAACATTAAAGTTAATTTCTAAACAAGATCACAACTAGTAATTAGTAGATTAATTTTGTGTCAATACTCACAATTCTTTTGCAACTAAATGAAACATCTAATTTGTAACTTAGCAGAAATTTGCTAAAACAACAAAAAGTAACTACCATTGCCCCACAGTATCTATAATGTAAATATTCTTATGATTTTGCATTTAAATTGTTCCCAATCTCACTATCATTTGTCAGTTGATGATTTATAGTAAAACCTCAGCCAATGGGCTACACAACTTTAATGCCCAAGCAATTGTGTCCTGATGCTGACCAATTTCTAGCAAGCCAAGAACAATTGTCTGATCTCTCTCATGTGATATATGTCTTAACAAGAGTGCAAATTTGCGTGAATACGTAGGAATATTGTCTACAAAAATAACAGAAATAGAGACTTATTTGAGATGCATATCATCGAGATGATAATACTTCAAATTATACATACAACATTGCAAAAATAAATTAATGATAATATATTTGTTATAAATTAGATTTTATTTGCAAAATTATACCACACTGAACAATGAATATGCTTGAGATATATTATGGAACACTTGCAAACATTGCTGCAATGCAAAATGGGTTCAATTCAAACTTTGTTAAAGAAGAGGAATAAAGTAAAACAAAGCAATAATAAAACAGGCAACATACAGAATCAAGGTCTAGTCTACTATTATTTTGGCGACGTCTCTCTCGCGGAGGTAGTTCAGATGTTGTTGTCCCAACACCCACTGGAAAAGGGAAAGTTTCTCCATGGCTTCCTGTTCAACAGAGGTTCGAATAACTTTAACATGGACTCTGAAAATGCACCTTTGCAAGAATTTCAGAGATTATGAATATAGCACTAACCTATAAAGGCACTTTCGGATTCAAGCAATGAGTTCTTCATCAAATCATCATGTGAATCCTTTGTGGGAGAAATTTCCACATAACTAATATAGGAAACTTATATACGGCAGGAAACATTACATGTGCAAGTGCAACAGAATGAAAAATATTCTTTGTTCACATCAGCGTACTGAATCTCAAAATGCAATTTTCAACAATAAAAAAAGAAATTGGCAATAGATTTTCTTTCACATTTGGAGTTAAAATTGTAACTATATATACCATATGCAAATTTACAATTTTATTTGGAAAGGACAAAAAGAAGTCTTCTTTCAACCTCTTGTGAGGCACCTGAAATTGAACGTGTAAGTGAATTCAATTTATTTGTGTGAAATGTTATGAGCAATAATTGGATAGCATTAAGATGTTGAACCCTTACGTCTGTGGGACAGGTTAACTGATTAAAAGATTATAAAGTTAAATATTAAAGCAAAAAAAAATTAGAAACATTTCAAATTAGCCCACTATATAGTGATTTCATAAACTGCACAAGCAAACACTTGTGTTAATTTAGAATCATTTTTGCTAAAAAATAAAAAGTTAATTCAATGTGAATGAACAGAAGATTTGAACTGAACAACCCCGAATAAAGAGGAGTAGGTGGTATTTGTTTATGTTGAAAATATTGGTGCTATTCATTTATCATCAGTCTTTAGATTTCTCAAATCCTTTTGAATACAACTACAGGTGCAAATTTGCTTACAGCAAGATTTTCCTTACCGGTCCAATATCGTGTGGATTCATACGAGCAACTAGTAAAGCATAGAAAGAGAAAAAAAATTAAAATTTCACAACATTTGGTTAAAAAATATAAACTATTAGGGCATTAATATTGAAAGACCATTACAGAATTGTCCTTGTCAATTTTAACAAGTAACAGAATGTCCAGAATACAATGAAATCCAAGTCACCACTGCCACAGCCCCATTTGGAAAATTTAAACACTCAGTTACTAACCAGTGCTAGTCCCCTAGCAAAATCCCTTTTTCTTTGAAATAAATTCAATTTCCACATAAATTGACGTCCAAGCTCAATCTTAAGAGTACAATGGGATCTTGATCAGATGGGCTAATGGGCCGAGGAGTGACAGATGGAGTTTAATTTAGGTAAATGGTGAGGTGCTGCAATTTGGAAAGTCAAATCAGGGCAGGACTTATACACTTAGTGGTAAGATCCTGGGGAGAGTTGCTGAACAAAGAGACCTTAGAGTACAGGTTCTTGTTCCTTGAAAGTAGAGTCACAGGTAGACAGGATAGTGAAGGCGGCGTTTGGTACACTTGGCTTTATTGGTCAGTGTATTTAGTATAGGAGTTGGGGGGGTTCATGTTGCAGCTGTACAGGACATTGGTTAGGCCACTTTTGGAATACTGTGTGCAGTTCTGGTCTCCCTGCTACAGGAAAGATGTTTTGAAACTTGAAAGGGTTCTGGAAAGATATACAAGGATGTTGCCAGGGTTGGACAGTTTGAGGCAAAGGGAGAGGCTGAATAGGTTAGGGTCCTTTTCCCTGTAACGTCAGAGGTTGAAGGGTGATCTTACAGAGGTTTATAAAATCATGGAGGGCATGGATAGGGTAAACGGACAAAGTCATTTCCCCAGAGTGGAGGAGTCCAAAACTACAAGGCATAGGTTTAAGATGAGGGGGGAAAGATTTAAAAGGGACCTAAGGGGCAACGTTTTCACACAGAAGATAGTGCATGTATGGAATGAACTGCCAGAGGAAGTGGTGGAGGCTGGTACAATTACAACATTTAAAAAGCATCTGGATTGGTATATTAAAAGGAATGGGTGAGAGGGATATGGGCCAAATGCTGGTAAATGGGACTAGATTTATGTAAAATATCTGGTCAGCATGGATGAGTTGGACCAAAGGGTCTATTTTCATGCTGTACATCTCTATGACTCTATAAGACAATGTATCTCCAATATACACAAACTTGTGTGATGGCTTCTAGATAGGTCAGTTTCTTGCCTCCGTTTGTTACTGCATAAAGAACATCTTGACAGAGCACTTTGTGCAGGGTTTAAACTCTCAAAATAAATAGTAAGTAATTTAGCATTCTTAATCAGATCTTTTTTTAAAATAAGTATCTATTGAGGATGAAAATCAAAAAATGCTGGAGAAACACAACAGATCAGTGAAATATGACATTACGTTTTGAAGATCTGCCAAAGACCTTTGACCTAAAACGTAGCACTTTGTTTTTCTCTCCTGATGCTGCTCGACTTACTGCGGATTATCAGAATATTCTGGCTGTTATTTTTAAATCAGTTTGAAATTAAATTAGGATTTTACCAAGATTGTAAATGTTCTTGCAGTGGCACTCAGGTGTAACAGGTTGTCAGAGTGATTATTAAAGCAATGCTGTACCTCAGATCAGGAGGTTTAGTTAAAATGTATACAATAAAAGCAAGAGACAGTTTACATAGACTAATTATTTAAACTGGAAAGGTTTGGGAGGAGGACCAGCAGCATGCAAGTGTAGAACTAGGTTAAGTTAGGTAGTTCTTTCTTTCCTCCCAAGTGAATAGTGGGCCTAAAAACAGTTGCTGGATTGGGTGGTGAAGTCTATTTGGTGAAGTCAAATAAAAACTAAACCTGTTTCTACTGAAGCAGAGAGCACAAAAAGGTACATGGATATGTCATTCTGGAAATAATAAACAATGTGATCTCCTCTTGATTCAGGGGTCTTTTAATCTGTTTTGTAATGTCTACCAGGCAAATGAATAGTTCCAGACTGGTAGGGAAATGTATAATTGAATAAAGTACCATAACTTATGGACAGACTGTCTGGACCAGTAGGTGTTTTCCTGTGCATCTTTTCTGTATATTCATTTGTTCTCTCCGTGGAATTGTTGCAAGAAAGAAGACTGAGCATATGGGAATGCAATGACAAATGAGGCAAGCAAATATAAGCCTGATTCATTTTACTCAAAATAGTTGTAAATAAGAACAAACAACTTGGAAACATGAAGGTGCCCATCATTAACAGATTGTTCCACGATAGTGTATATGTATAGATGGAATGGAAAGAAATTATGAAGATGAAAACATTCTAAAATTGTTATAATGGGGCAATTTCAATTATTTTGATATAGATTGATCGCCATAATATAAAGTGGCAGAAGCAGCAAGCATTTCTGGAGAATTTTCCACAGCACTGTGTGTTACCAATCCACTGAGGAAAGGGAGAAGACTGGACCTGGCCCTGTGAATGCAGTGGGTCAAATGGATTGAATGTCAATGAAGGAACATTCAGGCAACAGCAATCATAAGGTTTAGATTTCCTAAGTAAAAGGACAAGAAGCAATCCAGAGCTTTAATAAAAGGATATTTGGTAGAAGGTTAACTTAAATGTAGCAAGAATGAATCTGGCTAAGGTAAGCAGAAATTATAAAAGACCTAGGAATAGGCTGTCTATAAAGGAGAAACAATTTGCGAGTAGTCCCTGGATGACAAATGAAACAGTGCGTAAATGAAGCTGAGAAAGGGTACGTATGACATATGTCAAGTGATTAATTGAGAACCAGTGAAATATTAAATTCAGAAAAGAAAAGAAACAATTGCAAAACAAAGAGAGAGTATAAAGAGACTAGCAGCTAACAGAGAAGAGAATCCAAAATCCTTCCATAGGCTTATACGTAGTTAAAAGATGGCAAGAAGAGCAGAGCTGATCAAGAACCTAAAAGAGGATTTAAGCAGGGGATGCACCCAAGGGACTAAATGGGTATTCTGCACCTGCCTTTACCAAGGAAGAAGATGCTGTCCAAATCATAATGGAAGTAAAAGAGGCACTGGCAAGGCTAAAAATTGAAGAAGTGGTGGCATTTGATAGGCTGCCTGTACTTTCTGGCTGTGCTGAATGAGATACAGTCAACGATACTGAGAGAAGCAAGAATGGAAATTTCAGAGGCAACGACCATTATGTTCCAATATTCCTCGAATACAATTCTTGAACTGGAGGACTGCCTTGCACATTTGTTCAAAAAAATGGTAGAAGGATAAGAACTGCAGTTATAAACCACTTAGTTTAAGTTCAAGTGATGAGAAAGCTTTTATAAACTATACATTGGGACAAAACATATCATCACATGGACAAATGTGGATTAACTAAGTAAAGCAACAGACTTGCTATGGGCAAATTTTGTTTAATTAACGTACTTGAATATTTTAGCAAGTTAAAAGAATTAATAAAAGTGACATTGTTGATGCAGTCTACTTTTCAAAAGACATTTGATCATAACAGATTTGTCAGTTAAGATACAGCCCATAGAGTAAAAAGTATAGTGCAGTTCCTCAGAGGTCAGCATTGGTATCCTGGTATATTAGTGACCTGACAGGTGCACTGGTAACATGGAAAGCAAAGAAACTAACTTGCATGCAGCACAGTCCCATAAACAACAATTATATAATAACCAGGCAATCTTGTTTTTAACCATTTTGCTTTGAGGCCAGGTTACTGGGGAGATTTTCTATGCTCTTTGTCACCACATTTTATGACTACCAGATAGCGCTTTTACATGTCTCAGGTGGTAGAGTATTCCCTGAATCTTTGACTGAATTAATAAGCATGGACATTCTGCTAATGACCCTGGAATGAACTCGATATTGATGAAAGGTCATCAATCTGAAACGTCAACATTTTCTCTATAGCTACTGTTTTTATTTCAGAATTCCAGCATATGGGGCATTTGGCTTTTGTACAATGAACATACTGTTCTTCTTCCAGCAATTTCTGACACAATAACTAATTATGCCAAAAAATATCTAACTGCAAAATCCACCAAGCGCAACTATTTTAATCAAAATTAATTTGTAAATAACACACCAACTTTTTTGTTAAATAAAACAAGCAACTTTGAATTTCATAAATATCATGCATAGCTCATTGTAAAGTAAATGGTACCATTACTGGTTAATATTGTATCACACTGACCTGTTTCTTTCCTCTTCATTGTGTCCAGTTTTTTTTTCTGTTCTCTTAATAATGCCTCCTGTTGAATCTCCAACGTATTACTATCATTTGGCGGATCTGGGTACACTTGTCTTATTTCAGCACGTGTTGCTGAATCTGTTTATAATAGAAAAAGTGTTATAAAATGAACATCTTAGTTACAAATTACACAGTAAACACATCCCCCATTTAGAAACAAATCATTCTGACCTTAAAGACTCTCAGTTACAGAGTCAATAAATAGACTGGAGTTTTGCTCAATACCCTTTTAAATCTCTAAATGATGACAATTACTTAGCACTTCAACTCCCCCATCACATTTTAAATGTAACTAAAAATGTTATTAATCCAGTAAAAGCAATGAACATGGACTAAAACTACTCTCCTTCAGGGAGAGAAAATGAATCAGGTTACATAGGCAAATCTTAATTACCAGGGTAAGTAGTGTAGGAGCTACTAATTTTGGACCGCACTACCTTCTCCACTGATATGGGTGCACATCACTGTGCCTGCTGAAATAAAACAGAATCTTGATATCCTGGTGTCAAACAGCCAGTATTCCTGACAACACCTACATTGTCCATTCCTGACAAAGAAGAATGAAGCAGCAAGGTGGGTTCTGTTATTTAAAGTATTGCACACCCCAAACTCAGAAAAGCAGATAAAATTGGTTAAAGAAGTAGGTATACTTATGAGCAGAAATGATAATGGTAGAAGAATGATCAAATGAGGCCACATGGTTTGAAGAGAAGAACTGAAAAAATATAATAACATTACTGAATGTGTACTATAAAGGCAGTCTGCGAGTTGTAAATGAGTTCCATTCCAGATTCTGTTCACAAGTCAGTTTGTACGCAAGTCGGAACATTTCGCACGAAAATATTAAGTGGCGAATGGTAAGTACAGGAAATGTCCATATGTTTAAAATTACACGTATGGGATCGCATTCATTAGTCAGACTTGTGTAAAATTGGGGTCCCCATGTACACCTTCAGTCAGAGCAAATGGAAGAACAAATCTCACAGATGCAAAAGCAATAACAAAGTACTAATGATTATTCCACTACCCCAATACTAACTGTTATAAGATTAGTATGAAAAATACAGAACAAACAAATTTCCTAAAATGCATTTAGGTGCACTTTTGCTAAGCAAATACAAAGCAAATCCAACAGGAGAGAGCATGGCTCTGAATCTAGTTGCAGAGAATGAAGCTGGGTGGGAAGAAATAGCATCAGTTAGGAGCTCTTTTGTGAAACTGAAAATAATTCACTTAAGTTCAGCATAATTATGGAAAAGGGCAAAGATGGAGCATCATAGTCACAAAAAGTAGAACAAATCCAACCCGACCAATTAGTGCCCCATCAATCTACTATTAATTATCAAAGTTATGGAAGATGTCATCAACAAGTGAAAGTTATAGCTCACAGACGCTCAATTTGAGTTCCACCAGGGCCATTTGTCTCCTGACCTCATTTACAGTCTTGCTGCAAATGTGGACAAAAGAAACTAAATAAAGAGGGCAGATGGAAGTGACTGCCCCGGCATCAAGTAACATTTGACCAAGTGTGGTAAAAAGGAATGCTATCAGAACCAAAATTAGTGGAAATTGAGGGAAACTTTCTGCTGATTGGAATCATACCTAGCACAAGAACACCATCTACAAGATTACTGACGACACCACTGTAGTGGGACAGATATCAAACAATGACAAGTCAAAATACAGAAGGGAGATAGACAGCTTGGTGACATGGTGTAATGAAAACAATCTATCTCTCAATGTTGGCAAAACTAAAGATCTGATCATTGACTTCAGAAAGAAAAGAGGAGAACACGCCCCCAACTACATCAACAGAATTGAGTTGAGAGAGCGAAGAGCATCAACTTCCTCGGAGTGACAATAACTGATGACTTGTCCTGGACTTCCCACATAAATGCAACAGTCAAGAAGGCACAACAACGCCTCTTCTTCCTCAGGTGGCTCAAGAAATTTGGCATGTCCCTAAGGTCCCTCACCAACTTCTACAGATGCACCACTGAAAGCAAACTGTCCAGGTGCATAATGGCTTTCTATGGCAACTGCTCTGCTCAGGACCGTAAGAAACTACACAGAGGTAGTGTGCACAGACCAGACCATCATGGAAGCCAACCTTCCATTCATAGACTCTATTTACACGGCCCACTGCCATAGAAAGACAGCCAACGTCATCAAAGACCCATCGCACCCTGGTAATGACCTCCCACAACCTCTTCTGTCAGGCAGAAGATACAGAAGCCTGAACACACACACAAGCAGGTTCAGAAACAGCTTCTTTCCGGCTGTTATCAGACTGTTGAATGACTCTAGCCTCAAAGAACGTAACCTGTATGCCTCAAAGTCTTTTTGATCTGTACATCCTTTGCTTGCTGTGATCGGCCTGTACCACTCACAAACAAAGCTTTTCACTGCATTTTGGTACACATGGTAATAAAATCAAAGTCAAAGTAAAATAGCTGTCGTTGTTAGAAGGCTATTATCTCAGTCCCAGGTATTGCTCAGGGTGGTGTCCCACACCCAAAAAGATGTTTCATCAATGATCTTCATTTCAGTCATAACATCAGAAGTGGCAATGATGCATAAATTTCAACATCATCTGTAACATCTCAGATACTGAAGCTGTTAGTACCAATGTGGAACAAAACCCGAAAGTCATTCAGCACAGATGGATGAGCGTAAAGTAACATCATGCCAAACAATGACCATCTCCAAAAATAGAAAACTTAGCTATCATCTCTTGCTGAGTCCCTCACTATCAACATCCTGGGAGACTGGCCAGAAACTAAACTGACCAATTATGTAAACACTGAGAAAAGATCAAAAAAAAAGGGAATTCTGCAGCAAGTAACTCAACTCATGACTCCCCAAAACCAGTCCACAAAACACAAAGTACAAGTCAGGAGTGTGTCAACTTTCTTTCCACCTGTCTGGGTGGCTGCTGCTCCAACAACACTCAAGAAGCTCAACATCATCTAGCACCACATCCATGACCGACACACAGTGGCAACATTGCTGCAGGTCATGCCTGTCGCATGTAGAGGTCATTTCCTGGTTTGAGAACAACAGACCAATTCTGGGGGGTGTAAAAAATTTGAATCATAATAATTCAGATGAGACGGGCAGACAAGTTGTTTTATATTTTAGCCAACTTAAGGGGTTAAGTTAGTTAAGCATTAAAGCTTTAGCCATTAAGTCAATAATAAGCAAAGCAAATGGGAACTACTGATGTTCAGAGAAATGAATAACGAACAAAGCATTCAGACTGTTAAGGCTAGAAACATTGAGGCCATACTATCAGAGGGCTGGAGATGGGGTCATTGAATAGGTTTAAGACAAGTGTGAACAGAGTCTTGTTAAGCAAGGGAATCAAGGATTATCAAGGACTAGCTAGGAATGATAAATTGAAAACACAAGCAGATCAGCCATGATCTTACTGAATGATCCATCTCCTCTACCATTTTGTATGCTCATATGAATAGCTGGTGATTCAATGGAAGCCATCTGCTGTTTTCCTTTTCCTTTAGACTGCGTCTGTTTCTCTTAATTCTCATTAGTAGTCCAAAGTAAAATTACATAAACTGTTCTGATGCTACCTTAAAAGCATACAGCTAGAAAATGCAAATCAAGGGAAAGAAAACCTGATGTAAAGAAAATGATTTTGAAAGCAGTGAAAGCCCATTCTCAGAACAAGTCCTGGGAGGAAATGTTTTTCACTTGAGCAAAGAACAGATGTGATGGCTTGGTTTTAAATGCTCAACCTATCAACTTCATAGTACCATCAATCTCAAACAAAAGTGGAAAAACCCACGCAGATGCAGTGCAAGCTAAATATGGAGTTAAATCCTCAATCAACTGCTATTTTACATACTTACATTGCCTACTGTCCTGCCCCGTGAGAGTTATCCCATGAAATTTGTAGTGTACAGCAGTTTAAAGTGAAAGTAGGCACGTTAACATAAAATTGCTGGCATGCATCTATATCTGTCTCACTCTTTACAAATTCACATTCCTCTTTTCAAATCTGATTGGTATATTGTTACACAGGTGGATACTTATTTCCTTAATATCAGTAATTCAGCATGAATAGTGGACCAAAACCCTGAAATCAAATAAGATATTCAAAACCAATACTGAAAATGTTACTTAACAAGATATCTAGTTCATGACATTTGGGCCTACCTCTGTATTTCAGGTCATTGAAATCTCTAATATTTTGTAAATTAACAAAATCTCTCTCTTTAGATGAAGGTCGGTGTACCAAGGCCTGGATACGTTGTCTAGCCAAATCAAAGACATCAACATGATTCCTGTCCCGTTTCCTTTTCAGAAACATTTGAAAATAAAGAATATTAGCACAAACATATTTAGTATTCACTTCATATTTCACCCCAATTAAATTTACAGATTCATTTATTATTGCTATCAAGGTAAAAATAGACTTTACCAGAGCATATTTGCCCTGTCAAGTCTGCACCATTTAATTACTACAATAAACGACAGCCACTTGCAAGAAACTCAAATTTTAAAACTAAATGTTCACCAAATTATGCAGAAAATTACTGGTTCTGGAATACAGAACTAATTGATAACCTCAAAAAAAGAGGAATGTAATGCACACCCATTCATGCATACTCTCTGTTTTAAACCAGCCAGCCAATCTTCTATCCATGCTAATATTTTATACCCTATAACATGAGCTGTTATTTTCCACAGCATTTGATGTAGCATGCCATCAACTGCCATCTGGAAATCGAAGGATAGTATATCTACAGATTTCCCTTTATCTACAATGCATATAACTCCTTCAAAGTAAATGTGAAGGAATTTCAAGTAAATTGAAAGTAATCTGGTAAATTATTTAAACACAGCTTCCCCTGTGGTGCTGACTCTCCCAATTACCATATTTTTCAAATTGCGCAATTCTTTAATGATCAATAATTTATTAAGAAAACTTTTTTTGAAACCTATCACAACTCTGAAATGGTTGCTGAGATCAGGAAAAAAAAGACAATAAAAATCTACAGTGAGACTTCTAAGCAGGAAGAAACTGGAGAATGGCAATGAGACAGAATACACCGATTAGCTTCAGTACTGAGACAGAATATCATAAGTACTGAGTGTAGATATATCACAAAGTAAAAAAGATTAATAAATAATTGCAATTGGACAAAGAGAGAGGCAAGCATATGCAAAAGGTTTGTAATTTTTATTTTCAATCAAGTTTCTATTTTGAGAGTAGATTTGGGTCTCAATGGAAACTAATCACCTGTCCTGCGGGAATTGGTATAGG